TTTATATTTATTTATAACTTTGAGCTTTGTGTGAATTAACATCTTACTAATATTATAAACGCGAAAGTTTGTGAGTATGGATGGATGTTTGTTACTATTTCACGGTAAAACTACTGAACGGATTTTCATAAAAAATTACAGTAATTTATATTAAATTAAATTAAAATTAAAAATTAAAAAAGCCTTTTTATTTCTTTCTTATTACAAATGTATGGTGTTAGTAACTTAGAAATATATATTTATCACTATTTGTTAATTTATTCAAGTATTTTTATTATTATTATTATTTACTATATGTATTTATTATTATTAATCTATTTGTTACTAATATGTATTTATATATTTACATATATTTAGCTATCAAGAACCCCATTTTGGGTAAAGGCCTCCTCCAAAGATGTCCATTTGTCTCTGTTTTGTGCTACTAATGTCCAGTTTGAGCCAGCTACTCGGTTGATATCATCCTCCCAGCGAGTCAAAGGTCTTCCTTTACTTCTCTTGCCTGGTGGTCCGCTTCACAAAGTAATTTATATATCGGATTAAATTTAGAGTATAAATTTCAGGTGAAACCGCGGGCACATCTTAGTATTATATAAAAGAAAACGTTAATAACTACGAGATACATATGTATATTTGACTGGTAAGAAGAAGAGTTTTTAATTATTATATTTAAAATATTTTAAATACAATTGAAAATATATTAACCATTGCAATTTCAACGCGTGAATCTCGGATTATTTAATCTAGCCGACGCTGTACTTAAACTCTCGCTGCACGACAGTTCTAGTTGGAATTTAATTTTCGCATATAATTTCATCAGCTGTGTAATTGTCTTCTAGGTGACATATAATTGTAATTGTAAGAAACCTTCCTTTGTACAATTTTACACTTATATATTTAACTTACAAAGAGTATATAAAAGTCGAATAATTTATTATAAAATATAACTCACAGGCGACTGACTAACATAGTGATCTATCAATGCACAGCCCAAATCACTGGTCGGATCGGGCTGAAATTTGGTATGCCGGTAGATGTTATGACGTAAGCATCCGCTAAGAAAGGATCTTCATTAATTCTACCCCCAAGGGGATAAAATGGGGGGTGAAAGTTTGTATGAAACTTTGTCAATTTTAAACAGATCGGGCTGAGACTTTACATGCATAAAGCTATTATGACGTAGGCATCCCCTAAGAAAGGATTTTGATGAATTCCACTGCTAAGAGGATAAATTAACGCGAGCGAAGCCGCGGGCAAAAGCTAGTTTATTATAAAACGTAAATTTTTAATTTTGTTACTTAATTATACAATAATCTAAGATTATTATAAATAAATTGTTGCTTTAAATTATTAACTGTAACAAATTTGTTATTATACAAAGAATATAAGGCGTTTTAGCCTTTCAGATTGACAGACAGAAGCGTTTCAGATGGTGCGGCTAAGGCAATTTGCTCACTGGTAAGGTGATGTAGTAATTATTTTAGGGTACAATGGGACTGGCATATACTTTTAGTTTCTACAAAAATTCCAAAATATGTAGAAATATATATATACATATATTTCGTATCGCCTAACTGTCGTTTCTTTATTTTTTTAGTTTATTTAATACTTATTCTGCTATTTGCAATATATATATACATATATTTAGCATTAAAGTAAAATCAAGAGATTATGGCTAAAGAGAAAAAATATATGAACGATAATATACGTAGGTATACAAAATTACATGGTAAGATAATTTGTCAGCATTCTTCGCGTGAAAAAAATTTATTCTTCCACGTTCCACTAAACTGAATATTTTTTTTTTCAATAGTATGAACTATTTTTGCATCAGGTGCTTCAAAGCGATAAATTGTCTGTAATTCCAATGCCATAAAAAGAACTTATATATGAAAATGCAGATGTAAAATGTTTTCAGAGTAGTCTTATTCAAAGAAAATACATGAGTGCGTGGGTTTACAGCGACAATGGAATTGAATAAGCACTAGCATCAAAGCAAGATTAATGCTACTATGAGAGCTTTGTGAAGTATAATATTGTAGATACAATAAATATGTATATATAACATATAACTATACTAATATATATAGATGAAGAGTTTGTTTACACGCTCTAATCTTATATATAAAATTCTCGTGTCACAGATTTCGTTCCCATACTCCGAAACGGCATGACCGATTCTCATGAAATTAGAACTTATTGAGTAGGTCTGAGAATCGGCCAACATCTATTTTTCATCCCCCTAAATGTTAGGGGTAGTCCACACCAAAATTTTTTTTTTATTTCAATATAAAACAACGTTTGCCGGGACAGCTAGTATTATATATATTAGAGCGTATAAACAAACTCATAATTAACTAACTACAATATCCGTGAAGATTATTAACTAGCGTATGACAATTCAATATTTTTTTATTGGGGATTTTAAGCTAAGACCTGGGATCTGCATGGATCTATTGTACTAGGTATTTTTAAAATTTTGCTACCTAGAACAGTGACGGACAAGAATTGAAAGATATACTTAGGAGCGATGGTTTTTATCTCCTCAGGACAGAGTATATACTTTACAAAGGAGATATTTCGTTTATGTATGAGTGGGCTACAACTATATAGGATGTGTAGCGGCGTTTCCTCTTCAGTTTGGCAAAATTTGCTAATTGTTGTTAAACTAAGGCCTTCATTAATAACAAGGCTCTTTACAAAATCTATTAATAACACCAACATACATGTACGTCTGGTATAGTTAGAATTCTGTATTCTTTAAAATATTAATATGATCAGTAACATGAAGGCCGAAAAAGAGATGGATGGACTGTGTGAAAGATGATATGCTAAGAAAGGGAGTAAATAACGAGATGACTGCGAACAGGGATGAATGGAAGCGAAAAACACATTACGCCGACCACTAATAAATGGGATAAGGAAGAAGCAGATGATGATGATGATGATCAGTAACATGTAAAATTACATATAATTTCATCTTCCTAAAAATTCAATAAACTACCAATTGGAGTACAATGAAACTATTTGAATTTTATAGCCTAATCATCAAATAAATATAAGTACTAAATGAACAATAAAATTAAGTATTATATTCATATTTTTATTAATAAAATCTCTAAAAGTTAATATCAAACTTTATAGTTTTATCATCAAATAATGAATAAAAAGAACTTCATATTTTTATTAATTATATAAATGAAAAGACTGCAGTTTGTTAGATTGTTAAAATAATAGCGTAAAACTGTATTTAATTTAACACTTAACGTCAGTCTAAGTCAAAATACCGAAGTCAGTCAGAGGTTTCGACTTTCCAAAAAGGTAACCATAATAAACTATGCAAATTGAAAATAAATATATTTTAATGCCAATCGTGTAGTGTTAAATAGTCTTTGTGTCTCGCCTGAGGTTCTTGTGTTAAATTAATTCAGAGTAATTGATAACCTCGGTTGTGTAGTGGTTTAGCATATCGTTTTACTTCCGATAGTCGCGGGTTCGATTCCTCGCATAGTACAAATATTCGTATTTATGATTGTTTGTATCGGTCTGGGTGTTTTCTATGTATAATATGTATTTATTTACAAAAAAATGCATCCGTGTATTTATATCAGTTGTCTAGTACACATAATACAAGCTCTGCTTAGCTTGGGACTAGATGGCGTTATGTGAATTGTCCTGAGATATTATTATATTACTAGCTGTTCCCGCGAATTCGTCCCAATTTCCGTAAACGTACTAATTTCCGCAATTATTAGTTCGAATCAAACAGTTAGATAGCCCATTTATAGTAAAAACGTCTATATACGTTACAACCAATAAAAGCGGAACATGAATGAAAAAAACAGACATAGTTGCGCGGATCACCTAGTATAGTAGTTATATATTGACGACCTCGGTGGTCTAGTGGTTTAGCACACCGCTTTACGTCCGATGGTCGCGGGTTCGATTCCTCGCACGGCACAAACATTTGTATTCATGAGTATGATTGTTCGTGACGGTCTGGGTGTTTTCTATGTATAATATGTATGTATTTACGAAAAAAAAAAAAAACTATGTATCTGTATCAGTTATCTAGTACCCATAACACAAGCTTTAGCTGGCTTAACTTGGGTCTAGATGGCGCTGTGTGAATTGTCCTGAGATTATTATTATTATTATTATTATATTCCTGACATTTACTAGTATAATCAAGGTTGTTACATGACATATAAAATTACCAATTATATGAAGAGACCCTCATTAAACGTAACAAAGATATTAACTGTCAGTCAACTGAAGCAACATGTTACTTATTATTGAAAATAATGACGTAGGTACCGGCTTCACGGGATTTTCAGTCACTCACAACGCCGTTATACTATTTCCTCACATAGTTAATGCAATAGAATAGAATAGAATAGAAAATCATTTATTCAAATAAACTTATGATAGATGTATGCAATATTATGTTATCTGTGATATAAGTACGAGCAATTATAAAGGGCTTTTTTATGTAATTTAATTTGCAAATGTAATGGATACGTATATATGCCACTATTTAAGTTAATGTCTACATTTTTTAAAACACATAATAATTTGCTGTTTTTGCTTATTAATGAATGATATTATTTGAAAATTATCCATTTTCAATTTTGTTTTTCGTCTATATTTTCTTACTTCCACAAAAATATTAATATAAAAACTAATATAAAATTTGTATTGTAGTAAATATGTAAATAAATGTAAATCTATATATAAATATAAACGTTAATCTATATAAGTAAATTAATTAAATGTGAAAATGTGTTTATTTGTTACATTTCACTGTACTGACTGAATTGATCTTAATGAAACAAACAACAAATTCGACCTAGACTATCTTTTCTCTCAGACAAAAATATAAAACAGATAAAGCAGCGGCTAAGTAAATTACTTGTAACTTAGTTTATTACAAACATAAATGAAAAACCTATTTCTACTGTAATTTATTTTATAAAATATCTAAAAGTTTATTGACTTACATGTGAATGCAGTATGCATACTGCGCACAACAGTACAACCGCACCGAACAGCGTGACGCAAAGTGCCGACACGAACAGTGCGTGTTTTAATCGCACACAGTATCGCCGGTACAGAGCCTCCAGCTCGAGCTCTGTGCCTTCTTCCTCTGTAACAAAGGAAAAAAATAATAAAAAATCATACATTTCATTAGAAATAAACCGCGTACAGCCTCTGCGTGCCAGGCTTGTGCACTAGGGGCCAATTTTTTTTTGTATAAATCTGTGTAACAATTTTATTTATAAGCAACTAGCTGTGCCCGCGACTTCGTCTGCATATTATAGTGACCCTAACCAAATATAGAAAAAATATTCTGTAATCTAACCCAAAAAGTCATAGTAAAAGTTTCATCATTCTAGATTCAAAAATGACGATTTTCTATACAAACATTTATCCCCTATTTTTTTTTTACCTCCTTAAGGGTAAAATTTTCACAACTTATTGATTGTCATTTATTTATATTTGATCAACAGCCTAAAAAATTTTCAAGCTGCTTTAAAAATTACGATACTTCCATACAATCTTTGAACACCATTTTCAACCCCTTACAATCCTTTATCCCATTAAAAAATAACCTATATCCTTTCTCAGGGTGTAAACTAGTTAGGTAGGTAGTCGAATAAACTACTGACATCTACCCACATTGACATTGCTATACTCACGACAGCTCGTGACCACGGCTAGTGTAACCTAGTCTTATTTATTTTTTAAACAACTTTGGTGGCAAAAATGCATACAGCCCATCTGATAAACGGTTACCGTAACCTATGGACTCCTGAAACACTAGTCAAAATGTTAACATATGTAATTACCTATATTTACAGAAAAATACGCGTATGCGTGTTAAGGATCGTTAACCATTATTTACTAACAATATATATTACGGTTTTGTTACACCATCTATATTAGTTTAGTTAGATATAGATAAATAATAGATTAGATACTTTATTGATATTATTTTATAGCCTCAAAGATAATAATTAAACCAATACACATGTTTGTTATTTATATTATTTTTGATGTTTTCTGTGGTTATTATTGCAGAGCGCAGTGAATTAATATATAATAAAGATGTTTAACTTGTTCTAATTATTTTATTTAATCATTTTACTAACAACTAGGTACTTACACCTACATTACAGAAACCAGAGAGAGCGCATAGACAATGAGTTACAGATTAGTAAATCTTTCTGTATCACCACAGATTATACCTTAACACCCCTCCTCGATTTAAGGTTTTATTAAACTTCAGAAAATAAAAGCTTACATCGCTTCCTTACATGAATCTTTTACAACAATACTAATTACTAAACAAACTAATTAACATTCATAATTTTCTCTATGTAGTTTTAATAAACATTTCTTTTTCCTTATTATTTATATAAAAGTAATATTCTCTCTGTCTGCTTAATTTTAAATTCTTAACATAAAATAGTTTTCTTCTTTAACTTATAATTTTACTCAAAATAACTTTATTCTTATTTTACTTTCTAACTTACTTTTACTTAATTATACAATACAAAAGTTTTTACTTTGTTCATACACTTTTATTCTATACTAAACATACTATAATCACTCATTTTTCCAAATATATTTATTGACATCTTAAACTTAATACAAAATAAATTCTACAAAATAATTGAATTTTATTTTTCCTAAACTTTTAGTAAACAAATCAGCTATATTCTCTTTTGTTTGTACATACTCTACTTTAATTATATCTTTACTTATTAAATCTTTTATATAATGAACTCTTATATCTATGTGTTTAGTTCTCTTAGAATTTTGATATGTTTTAGAAATAAAAATAGCTCCCCAGTTATCCATTAATAATTTAGTTTGTCCTGTTTGACCTAAATGCTCCCTAATTCCTTTTAAGTTTACAAGTTCTTGTGCTGTTAATGATGCTGCAATATATTCAGATTCCACTGATGATAATGCAACACAACTTTGTTTCTTTGAGTGCCAATTAATAGGGTTTTGTCCATGAAATATAATTGAACCACTTATACTCTTTCTATCTTTTCTATCTCCTCTTGATATAAACATTCTAACGGTTGATAATCTTGCTACAGGTGAATATACTACATCATATTCATTTTCTTTCTTTAATTGAAAACCTTTTGCTACTAAACGTGCCTTTTTAGTACCATCTGATTTAACTTTAAATATCCATTTAGTTTCTATTGCTTGTACATTTTTCTTTTCTTTAATTTCTTCCCATGTTTCTAACTTTGTTAGTGCTTCTACTTCTTTTCTTATAGCTTCTTTCCAGTTTTTATCTTTTATAGCTTCTTCATAACTTGTAGGTGTGTCTTCATCTGTCATAAAACAATATGCTTGATATGCTTCTTCATTTTCTTCATTAAAATTGTAATCTTTATGCCACTTAGGTTTTTGTCTATTTCTTTTTGCTTTTTCTTGTATATTATTTTCATGTACTTTATTCTCTCTTGTTATTTCTTCTCTTGTAGTTGATGTTAATCTTTCTTCTACTATATTTTCAATACTTTCTTGTTCTTCTTCTTCATTGGATGTAAAATGATCCATATATAATTTATTTTCTTTATCACTAGAATGTTGTTTTTCTGTAAAATCATAGTAGTAATCTTCTTTATTTATATGTACTATCCCCTCCTGTTTTGTAAGTGTTTCATCAAATATGACATTGCGACCTGTGATAATTTTTTGTTGTTCATCATCCCATAATCTGTATCCATTTATATTATACCCAACCATAGTTAATTTCTTGCCTTTTGGATTTAATTTATATCTTAATTCCTTTGGTATGTGGTTGTATGCTATACTACCAAATGTTCTTAAATTTGCTACATTAGGCTTTTTACCTTCCCATAATTCATACGGAGTTTGCTGTTTATTATTTGTAGGACTTCTATTTGTCACATAAGCTGAATACAATACTGCTTCTCCCCAAAATTTCTTTTCCATTTCTGATTCTAAAAGAATAGTCCTTGCTTTGTCAATGAGTGTTCTATTCATTCTTTCTGCGACTCCATTCATTTCAGGATTATATGGAACTGTGTTTTGTAAGATAATACCTTTTTGGTTACAAAAATCAATAAAATTGTTAGATAAATACTCTCTTCCATTATCTGTTCTCAATTTCAATAAGTTACAATTAAAATGTGTAGTAGCTAAATTATAATAATGTTTAAATTTATCAAACACTTGTGATTTATCCTGTATTAAATATATACGAACATAATGAGTATAATCATCTATGAAAGTTACAAAATAATTGTTTCCATCCCATGTAGTTGGTTTAATAGGACCACATATATCGCTATGCACTAATTCTAAAGGTTTTGTAGCTCTACAGCCAAATTTGTTAAATGGTTGTCGTGTCATTTTTCCTAAAATACAATATTCACATAATGGTTGTTCAACTGTAATATTTTTCAAATTGCTCATCCCTAATACCATGTCCTTTTTAATTAAATCTCTTAAACTATTTAAATTTAAATGACCATAACGTCTATGCCACAAATTAATAGAACTGTTTACCGAATTTGTTTGGTTACACTCAATTTTGTTTATAACATTAGGATATAACTTAATAATATATAAAGATCCTTCATTATGTCCAAGCATAATCAAATTATGTTTAATATTACAAATTTTTACTTTATTATTACAGAATGATACATTGTATCCTGATTGTTCAATTTTACTTACTGACAATAAATTCCTCCTCAATTCTGGTACATATAATACATTACTTATTGTATGATGACGTTCGGTGTTGTAAAAATAACTTTTCATATGAATATTTCCTATACCTATTGCTTCCATTATAACACCATTTTTAGCTGCTGATATCTTAATTGGGGTACTTAACTCTCTATACTCACTATATATGTCTCTATTATTAGTTAAATGTTCTGAACAGCCTGAGTCAATATACCACTCTATTTGTTGCTCATTATTTTTACACTGATTTATTTTTCTACACATAAATGCACTATAATCACTATCACTTTCTGCTATGTAGGATCTATGTCCTCTTCCTCTCTGTATTTGACTTCTTCCTTTCTGTATTGGTTCTCTTCCTATATTTGCTCGTCCTGGTTCTGTATGTTCTCTATATACTTGCCCTCTATTATTTCCGTATCCTTTATATACTTGTCCTCTATTATTTCCATATCCTCTATATACTTGTCCTCTATTATTTTCATAACCTCTATATTCACTGCCATTTCTATTATTCCAAACATCTTGTGTCTTTTCATATTGATTTCCTTTATAATAACATTGATATTTCTTATGTCCTTTCTTTCCACAGTTGTAACAATTAAATGCATTCACCATTTCACAGTTTTGTTTAAAGTTTTGTTTCTTTTTCTTTTCTTCTTCTCCTAATAAACGGTTTTTTACAAAATCTATTTTTAAATCTTCTATTGTTTCTATAGCTGTGATTACCGATTCATATGATTTGGGCATTGACAATATAATATAATTAATTTTTTCGTCTTCAGTTATATTTGTACCGGTGTCCTCCAATTGTGAGAATATTTGTTCAAATGAAATGAAATGTTCCTTTAATGAATTGTTTTCATTGTATTTAATTTCTGTTAATTTTCTTCTTAAATATATTTTGCTTCTCGTTCCTTTTCGTTTGAAATTGTTATTTAAATTTATTATCATATTATATGCTGACTTATCTTTTAAATATTCCAGATGACTGTCTGCCACGGATTGAATAATGATTGATTGTGCTCTTGCTTCCAAATTATCGTTTTCTTTGTTTGAACTGAACTGCGTATTTTCTATGGCTTCTATAAGACCTTGTTCGCGAAGTAATGCTCGTAATCTAAATATCCATGCGTTATAATTTTCACCATCGAATTGCTTCATATTATACAATTTGTCTTTTGCGAACATCTTGATTTTTATTCAATTTAATTTTTCTTTTGAGTAACAAAATGGCGTATTGCGTCACCTTATTCAAATTGTTGATTTTCTTTTTCTTGCGACTTCTGGGACCATGACCTGATGTTTTCTGTGGTTATTATTGCAGAGCGCAGTGAATTAATATATAATAAAGATGTTTAACTTGTTCTAATTATTTTATTTAATCATTTTACTAAC